TGAAAAGATGTTCAATCTCACTAGAAACCAGAAAAATGCAAAGTAAAACAATGACATACTGTTTCTCTCCCTTAGATTCACACAAAGATTTAATTTTACTTATGGGTTTTTGCAAGGTTTTGAGGAACTGGGTACTCTCAGATACTGCTGTGGGAATATAAATTGGTTCAAGCAATTTACACATAGTCTGCAACCCAGCAGTTCCACATATAGATTTCTATTTGAGAGAAACTCTGGCACATATTCACTTTGCAGACACTTATTCAAAGGTTCCAGGCAGCACTGTTTATAACAGACTAGTATTTGTAGCAATAATAGTTAAAATGAATATACTAGATCCATTTGTATCAACATGGATAAATCTCAAAACATCATTGCTAATTGAAAAAGGCAAGCTGTAGAATAACATGCATAGGCCACTATTTTGTCAAACACAAACACACAGATGACACTAAAATGATATTCTGAAAACTCATAATATTGGTTACCTCTTGCCCTCTTTTTCTACAGCAACACAATCTAACTCTTTACTCCTGTTGTTCCATATCCATTTCCCCCTAAGGATTACTTACCTCTCTTACTCTCTCTGTATTAGTCTGCTCTCACACTGCCAATAAAGACATACCTGAGACTGGGTAATTTATACAGAAAAAGAGGATTAATGGACTCACAGTTCCACATGGCTGGGGAGGCCTCACAATCATGATGGAAGATGAGAAGCAAGTCACATCTTACATGGATGGTGGCAGGCAAAGAGAGAGAGAGCTCATGCAGGGAAATTCCCCCTTATAAAACCATCAGATCTCATGAGACTTATTCACTATCATGAAAACAGCACAGAAAAGACCTGCCCCCATGATTCAATTACCTCCCACAGGTCCTTCCCACAATGAGTGGGAATTCAAGTTGAGATTTGGGTGGGGACACAGCCAAACCATATCATTCCATTTCTGGTCCCTCCCAAATCTCATGTTCTCACATTTCAAAACCAATTATGCTTTCCCAACAGTCCCCCAAATTCTCAACTCATTTCAGCATTAACTCAAAGTCCACAGTCCAAAGTCTCATCTGAGACAAGGCAAGTCTCTTCCACCTATGAGCCTGTAAAATCAAAAGCAAGTTAATTTCTTCCTAGATACAATGGGGATACAGACACTGGGTAAATACAGCCTTTCCAAATGGAAGAAATTGGCCCAAAAAAAGGAGTTACAGGCCCCATACAAGTCCAAATTCCAGTGGGGCAGTCAAACCTTGATTTTTTTTTCTTTTGTTTTTTTTAGACAGAGTCTTGCTCTGTCTTGCCCAGGCTGGAGTGCAATGGCACGATCTCAGCTCACTGCAGCCTCCACCTCCCAGGTTCAAGTGGTTCTCCTGTCTCAGCCTCCCAAGTAGCTGGGACTACAGTCCAGGCATGTGCCAGCACACCCAGCTAATACTGTATTTTCAGTAGAGATGGGGTTTCACCATGTTGGCCACACTAGTTTTGAACTCCTGACCTCAGGTGATCCACCTGCCTCAGCCTCCCAAAGTGCTGGGATTACAGATGTGAGCCACCATGCCTGGTCTCAAATCTTAAACCTCCAAATGGTCTCCTTTGACACCATGTCTCACATCCAGGTCACATTGATTCAAGAGGTAGATTTTCATGGTCTTAGGCAGCTCTGCCCCTAAGACCATGCCCAGTCTCATGGTCTCATGAGCCACCATGTGGCTGTGACTTTGCAAGGTACAGCCATACTCCCGGTACCAATTTACTGTTTTAGTCTTTTCTTAAGCTGCTGATAAAGACATACCCAAGACTGGGTAATTTAAAAAATTAAATTACCTGGGTAAATTAAAAAGGAGGTTTAATAAATTCACAGTTCCACATGGCTGGGAAGGCCTCACAATCATGCCAGAAGGCAAGAAAGAGCAAGTTATGTCTTACATAGATGGCAGCAGGCAAAGAGAGAGAGAGAGAGACCTTGTGCAGGGAAACTCCCCCTTATAAAACCATCAGATCTCATGAGACTTATTCACTATCATGAGAACAACATCAAAAAGACCTGCCCCCATGATTCAATTACCTCCTACCCAGTCCCTCCTGTTTTGAATTCATGGGAATTCAAAAACAGAATTGGGTGGGGACACAGCCAAACCATATCACTCTCACTCTCTCTGTCTCTCTGTCTCTCTCTCTCTCTCTCTCTCTCTCTCTCTCTCTTTCTCTCTCTCTCTCTCTCTCTCTCTTATGAGCCAGCAGCTCACTCTGTTACCTAGGCTGGAGTGCAGTGGTGCAAACATAACTCACTGGATGATCTACAGGAAGAAGTATATGTCACAAGTGGGAAGTGGAATAACAATAGCTAACATTTATTAAGTGCTTCTGCATGCCATACAGTGTTTAAGTGCTTTACAAATATTATTACATTTAATCCTTAAAATCGCCCTATGAGGTAGGCATTAATATCCATTCTCCAGATAAGAAAAGTCAGGCACAGACAAGTCAAGTAACTTGCCTAAACTTGCATCGCTGGCTAATTGGTTTAATCTGTGTCTAAGCAATCTGGCTCCAGCCCTCCCATAGTACTTTACTGTAATGTCTATAATATGGCATCAGGGTAGTGGGATAGTGCTCAGAAAGGACTTAATAGCAGCTTTAGCTGTAGGTTTCCATTTTTTGGAAGGAGGAAGTATTCGGGAATCACTTATATAATTAAAAATCAATTTTAAATAGGAAAAACAATTATTGATAAATCTCAAATGGAACTACGTCCAAAAGGAAAAGAAGCATGAATGAACAAAAAGAAAGGAAGAAAGAGAAGAAAAAAAAGAATGACTTTCACCCGTCTTCATTTGTTTAGTGATTAATTTCATAACTTTGATTTATTGGATAATTTTAGTGCTACAAAATTCCTGCCATTATCAGAATTCATCTCAGTCCAGGTAGAACAAAAGGAAATAAGAAGGAAAACAAAACCCTGGGGTTGTTCCTCCTGTCCATCAATGCCAGCATCATCAGTCCAAAATTGTCTACAGTGAAATTCTGCTGTTTTGAGACAAGCCTTCCTTTGCTCTTGAAATTAATTCCTAAGCTACTACAATCAGTTCTGTCTCATTACCCAGAAGATGTTGCCTGGCCTACAGTCATCCTTATTGTTTGGCTCTAATGAAAAAAAAAAGGCAATTCCAATCAAATTCAATTAAAGCAAGGAAATAGGAAAAGTTTTTCCTGTTCTTAGAAACCATCCATTGCCCCCCACAACCTTCCAGGAGACAGCAGGGCACAAAAGTCTCAACAAAGCCTTCAACCTCTCTCATCACCCAGTTGAATAGAAAACCAGTTTTCCTAAAAAGTCAATCAAGGGAAAAAAAACCTACAAAATGAGCTAAAAAAGAAATTTTGCTACCAGGAACCATATTTAACTTTTCCTTCAGCACAAAAAAAGTTCCAGGCCCAAGCATAGTGACCTAAACTGTGTTCCTGGACTTGACCAATCCAATATTAGTAATCAACTACTTTGTGGGTGGAGTAATAGCAGAGGGAAGTGAGATTTGAGCTCCCCCACATGGCAGAAGCCTTCCACTAACCATGAAGGGGTGAATGGATTTTTGCAGACTAGCCTAGATTTCTCAGCTCTGTGTGCAATTCACTTATCTTTTGGGATATAAGTTTTTAACAGCATTTTCTGAAATAACATTTTGTGATAAGACTTCTTGTCCTATTACATTGAATACTGCAGTGACTGTGAGTGGGGTTAGCCCAGAATATCTTCTCAATAATAGACAGTCTGATCTGTTTATTTCTGTTTTTGCCAACCCACATTACACTTTTTATGTGAACTCATTTTGTTTAGCAAGTTTTTATTTTCAGGGATGTGTTACAACTAATTTAGTATCTGATTTTCCTATGACCAAGGAGAAAAAAATAACTCTAGCATGTGTTGTTCTCTCTAAGGTGGTACTTAAAATAGGGCGCATAGTCCTATGAATAAGAATAAAATAAACCCTATTGGATTTGATACATATTCCTCAACCCTCAAAACACCTTAGGAATACAAAACACAGAACTCCTTAGCCACAGCTTGCAGTATTTTTTCCTCCTCTGTCTTAGGAACTCCTTCTAGATATAGAACAAGCCTTGAATTTGGCAACTCTTCTTGCTGCTATAGCATATTTTCTCATTCCTAAGAAAATGTTTTTTCTCTTAAACAGTAAAATGACCAAAATTAAAAGTCAAACCACAAACTGCAGAAATACTGCACTTACATATGATAAAGCCCTTACATAAAACTATCTGAGAAAGACTATCTGGGAAAGACTACCTCCCTAATAGAACATAGAAGAATATAACAATTATTTCCCAAAGAGGAAACACGAATGCATAACAAAATTTGGAAATAGTTCACCTCTAAAGAAAGTTTTAAAATAAAAATTAGAATAATGTAACACCTTTTTCTATCATACTAACAAAGATGTTTAAAGTGGAGAACATTGTATCTATATATAGTAGAAAAGAGATTGAATAACTTGCTTTTAAAATCAATTTGGAAAAATATCAATAGCAGCCTTAAAAATAGCAGCCTTTGACCTCTGGGGTTAATACTAAGAAGATAATAAAAAATGAGGGAAAAGCTTTAGGCACAAATATTTGTATTGAAATACTATGGCTAGAAACAACCTAAATAATCAACATTAAGGGATTATTACAGTTTTTCTTACCCTACTGGTTTTCATTTCTGGTTCCACATTAGAATCACTTGGGTTGCTATATTTCACAATAATGATGCCCAAATCCTTATATCAGAACAACTGAATCAAAATCTCTAGGACTGAGACCTAGGCATATATAGTTTTTAAAAGTCTCCAAGTGGCTTCCATGTGTAGCCAGGGTTGAAAATCACTAGGCTAAAGAAACTATGATAGATTATCATGCAGTAGAATATTATGCAGCTGATTAAAAAATGCTTTCAGAGTTTTGAAAAAATATATACTTTAGGGCCGGACATCATGGTTTATACCTGTAATCCCAGCAGTTTTGGAGGCTGAGGTGGGTGGATCTCTTGAGCTCAAGAGTACAAGATGAGCCTGGGCAACACAGCAGAATCTCATTTCTACAAAAAAAAAAAAAAATTAGCCTGGCATGGTGGCGCACACCTGTAGTCCCAGCTACTCAGGAGGCTGAGGTGGGAGGATTACTTGAGCCAGGGAGGTAGAGGCTGCAATAAGCTGAGATCTTGCCACTGCACTCATTCTGGGTGACAGAATGAGACCCTGTCTTGAAAAAAGAAAAGAAAAAATACATATTTTATTTTGAAACAGTTCTAAACTTACCAAAAACTTGCAAGGTTGGCATAAAGAACTTTCATAGACCCATTATCCAGAGATGCCATTCAAGTTTAGCCAGCTGTCCCAGAAACATCCTTTTCAGAAAAAAATGCAGCTCAAGATCTCACATTGTTCACAGCTGTTATGACCCTTTTTCATGACCTCTACATTTTTTAAAGATTATAGGACAATCGCTTAGTGAAATATCTTTCAATGTGGGTGTGTTGGGTTCCCCGAGATCACCCCAGGTTTGATGATTTGCTAGGAGGATTCACAGGACTCAGCAGATGGCCACACTCATGGCTATGATTTATTAAAGCCAAAGAATAAAAAGCAAAATTAGCAAATAAAAATAAAAAGCAAAATTAGCAAAAGGCATGATGGGCAAAGTCCAGAGAAAACCAGGCAAGCTCCCAAGAGTCCTCCCCGGTGGAATCATACAGGACATATTAATTCCCGTACCAATGAGCTGAGATAACACATGTGAAGTTTACCTACCAGGAAGCTTATTAGAAATTCAGTGCTCAAGATTTGTATTGGGCTGGTTACATAGGCACTCTCTGTCCAGCAAGTACCAAAATTCCAGACTCCCCAAAGGAAAGCAAAATTCAACACAATCCTCATTCTTTGTACAAGCAGTTTAGGCAGAGTGAGCCATACACTGTGTGATGCGAACACTCTTTAAATCCAAGTTCCCAGCTACCAATCACGGCAAGCTTGCAAGCAGGCCTTTCTAAGGATAGCAGCCCCAGGTCTGGTATGTTAACTCTTGACTACACAGTGGATTTGTTTGATGTTTCTCTCTCTGTCTCTCTTTTTTTTATTTTTACTTGAGACAGAGTTTCACTCTGTTGCCCAGGTTGGAGTGCACTGGCACCAACTCAGCTCACCACAAGCTCCGCCTCCTGGGTTCAAGCGATTCTCCTGCCTCAGCCCCACTAGTAGCTGGGACTACAGGTGTACACTACCATGCCCAGCTTACTTTTGTATTTTTAGTAGAGAGAGGGTTTCACTATGTTGGCTAGGCTTGTCTCGAACTTCTTACCTCGTGATCTGCCCACCTCAGCCTCCAAAAGTGCTGGGATTACAGGCATGAGCCACTGCACCCGGCCTGTTTGATGTTTCTCATAATTAGACCCAGGTAATATATTTTTGGCTAGAGTATCACAGATGTTGTATTCTTTTCATTGCAACTATTGGATGGAGTATGGCATCTGCTTGTTCTTAGTCTGATTCTATTTTTTATGTGTGACTGCTAACAGCTTTCAAGCTCTACTCTTCTTTCTTCTTCTTCTGCCCTACATCTTGGCAAGCTGATAAGAAAGCCTGGGGGATTCCTTGTTTGATGCTGGTGGTAGGTTCAAACCACATGAGCCCTGTCCCATTACTGGTAACCCTCACCCCAGCCGGAACCCATTAACCACAATAAAAATCAAAACCAGTCACCCTCTGTGCTTTCTTAGCCATTTCCAGATCTGTTTGGGAGCCTGCCCTACTCTTCCCAGAAAGCCTCAGTATATGAGTAATAAATAAATCTCTTTTTATCCTCTTGGGGTATGTGTGCGTGTGTGCGTGTGTGTGTGTGTGTGTGTGTGTGTGTGTGTGTGTGTGTATCATTAGTCTCAAATCCTAAACCAATGTTGCAGGTGGGGGTTGGTCCATCTTGCACCTATAAAAGTCACATTACTGGTGGTGTTAACTTTACTTAGTCAAGACAGTGTTTTCCAGGTTTCTAAAACTACAAAGTCGTGTTTTTCCCCTTTTGTAATCAATAAAGATTTTCTGAAGTGATAATTTGAGACTACGTAAAATTTCACCCACTACTTTCACCCACTAGTTTGGGTATCCATTAATGTTAATTATTATTGTGATAGTTGTCAAACGGAGATTTTCTGATATCGTTGATCCTTCTACATTTATTAGTTGGCTTTCTACTCTAAGGAAGACTTCTCTTGCCTCCCCATTTATTTACTCATTTATTCCTTTTATCAGTGTGGAGCCACATGTTTGTTTTTCACTCAATAGATTAGAATCTGTAACTCATTATTTATCTTGATGCTCAAATCACCAGATGTGGCCAGTGAAAGCCTCTTTAAGCTGGCTTCTAAGAACTGTTGTTATCTTGTTGTTTGAGTATTTCTTTGCTTTCTAGCACAAAAGGATATTCAAATTCATCTTGTACATTCCCTGTCTCAGCCTTAGAATCTGATGTTTCTCCAAGAAGCCCTGCTTCCTTTCATTGAAAAGTGATATTAACAACTCAAAATCTAGATGCTAGGTGTGCTTGTGATAACTGGGGTGTGATTATTCCCAGGCCTTTTCTGTGAGTAGGGGTAGAAGATATATGAATGTACACACACATCACATCTCTATAGATTTCCATATCTGCACACATAAAAACTATGAGGTTCACATTCATACCACAAGGTCTAACAACACAAAGTCCATTCTGGTTTCCTTTTATTTTTCTGTAATTGTACTGAACTCCAACAGTGAAAAGCTTGGCTCCTCTTACATGAACTGTCCTGTAAATGGCCAATCTTTCTGCATCCCCCTCCTTCTCTCACCCAAAACTCATTTGAACCTGCCTCTATAAGCTGGCTAACTTGTGTGGATCTGCCTAATGGCTTTTTGTTTTATAGCTTTATGGAGGCATAATGGATATACAGTAAACTGAACATATTTAAGTGCACAACATGTTGAGTTTTGACATAGATATATGAACATAAAATCATAACCATCAAGATAATTAACATATCATCCACCTCAAATAGCTTCCTTATGCCCTTTTATAATCTCTCCTTCCTGCCCCAAACAATAATCCTCTGTGTTCCCAGGCAACCGCTGATCTGCTTTTTGTCACCATAGATTTGTTTGCATTTTATATAATGGAATCACACAGTATGCACTCATCTTTGGCTTCTTTCAGACAGCATAATTATTTTGAGAGTCATCCATTCTGTTACATGGATCAATAGTTCATCTCTTTTTATTGCTGAAAAGTATTCTATTGCATGGATGAATCACCATGTGTTGATTCATTCACCCACTGAAGGGCATTTGGGTTGTTTGTAGCTTTTTGTTGTTGTTGTTTGTTTGTTTGTTTGTTTTGAGATGGAGTTTAGCTCTTATCGCCCAGCCTGGAGTGCAATGGTGTGATCTTAGCTCATTGCAAGCTCCACCTCCTGAGTTCAAGTGATTCTCCCACCTCGGCTACCTGAGTAGCTGAGATTACAGGCATGCACCACCACACCTGGCTAATTTTGTATTTTTAGTAGAGACAGGGTTTCACCCTGTTGGCCAGGCTGGTCTCGAACCCCTGACCTCAGGTGATCTGCCTGCCTTGGCCTCCCAAAGTGCTGGGATTACAGGCATGAGTAACCGTGCCTGACCATTGTTTGTAGTTTTTTTCCATTACAAATAAAGCTGCTATGGACATTCACTAGGCCTTACTAGGCTTTATTTTGTGAACATAGGTTTATTTTGTCTTGGATCAATGCATAGAGGACAATGACTGGGTTGTATGGTAGGTAGAGGCTTATATTCTTAAGAAACTAACAAAATGTCTCCCCAGTAGATCATGCCATTTACACCAGCATTATATGAGAATTCCAGTTAATCCACATCCCTACCAATACTTTGTAATTTTACCAGGTTTTATAATGTTAGTCATTCTAGTGGGTGTGAGGTGGTTTTTATTTGCATTTCCCCAGTGAGTAAGACTATAGAGCATCTTTCCATGGGCCTATCTGCCATTCTTATATTAACTTTTACATTAAGTTTGGCCCATTTTTACCAGTTTTTTTTGTTGTTTGTTTGTTTTGGTCTTCATATTCTTGAGTTTAACAATCCTTTTTATACTGTAATCTTTGGTCAGATATCTTTCAAAAAGATATTCTCTCTTTCTGTGGTTTGCCGTTTCACTTTCTTACAATGTCTGTGATGCACAACGTATTTTAATTTTGTGGTGAAGTCCAAATAATTGACTTTCCCTTTTTATTTCTTGCTTTGTATGCTACATTTTAAAAACTTTGACAAAAACAGATCACCAAGGTTTTCTCTTATGTTTTATTCTAAAAGTTGTTGTTTTATTTAGGGATATGATCAATTTCAACTTCATTTTCCTGTATGATGTGACATAAGGGATGAGATTTATTTTGGTATCCATATACCTTTTTACTTTTTCATTAGAATGAACCAGCAACCAACAGAATGGTAAAAAAATTTTGCAGTCTAACCATCTGACAAAGGGCTAATATCCAGAATCTACAAAGAACTAAAACAGATTTGCAAGAAAAAAACAAACAAACCCATTCAAAAGGGGGCGAAGGATATGCACAGACACTTTTCAAAACAAGACATACATGAGGCCAACAAACATATGAAAAAATGCTCATCATCACTGGTCATTAGAGAAATGCAAATCAAAACTACATTGAGATACCATCGCACACCAGTTAGAATAGCGATCATTAAAAAATCTGGAGACAACAGATGCTGGAGAGGATGTGGAGAAATAGGAACACTTTTACACTGTTGGTGGGAGTGTAAATTAGTTCAACCATTGTGGAAGACAGTGTGGCAATTCCTCAAGGACCTAGAAATAGAAATTCCATTTGACCCAGCAATCCCATTACTGGGTATATTTCCAAAGGATTATAAATCATTCTATTATAAAGACATGTGCACACGTATGTTCATTCCAGCACTGTTTACAATAGCAAAGACTTGGAACCAACCCAAATGCCCACCGGTGATAGACTGGATAGGGAAAATGTGGCACATATACACCATGGAATACTATGCATCCATAAAAAATGATGAGTTCATTTCCCTTGTAGGGACATGGATGAACGTGGAAACCATCATTCTCAGCAAACTGACACAAGAACAAAAAATTAAACACCACATATTCTCACTCATAGGCGGGTGTTGAACAATGAGAACACAGGGACACAGGGAAGGGAGCATCACATACTGAGGTCTGTAGGGGGGATTGAGGGGAGAGACAGTGGAGGGCGGGGAGTTGGGGAGGGATAACATGGGGAGAAATGCCAGATATAGGTTATGGGGAGGAAGGCAGCAAACCACCTTGCCATGTACATACCTATGCAACAATCCTGTATGTTCTTCACATGTACCCCAAAACCTAAAATGCAATAAAATATATTTTTAAAAATAGAATTTATTGACATAAAGTTATTCATATTTATGTATTATTCTTTTACCTGTAGGACCTACGGTGATGTCAACTCTCTCACCCATGCTTATGGTAATTTAGGTCTTCTCTATTTTTTTTGATCAGCTGGGCTTGAGATTTATTTTTTATTAACATTCTTACAGAACCAGCTTTTAGCTTCACTGATTTTTCTATAACATTTGCCTATTTTCTATTTCATTTATTTTCTCATTATTACCTTTCTCCTGCCTCCTTTTTGTATATTTTGCTCTTCTTTTACGGGTTTCTGAAGTTTCTTGATTGTGTGGATGTCCTGAAGAAGCTAGGTTCTTCAACACAGAGCTGGTCAAGGAATCAGAGAAGCTGAACTATTCAGGAGAATGCAGAGCAATTGCAGGTGAAGCCCTGCTTCTGGATAAATGTGGTGACTTAACAGATAAGAGACGTGTGTGAGCAACCAAATGGCTGCTGTTTTGCTTCTATCCTCCAAATAGCCCATAAGAATCTCTCCTGTGGTCTACTCTAATAGGATATATATAGGAAGGGAAATTACAGGAGATTTAGTTTAGTCAATCCAAGTCAATCCAATAAGAGGCAATCACAGACCTACTTGTGTCTTTATATTGAAAGTAAGTTTTTTGTAGGCAGCATATACAGTCAGGTATCAAATAGCAATGTTTCAGTTAATGATGGGCTATATGTGGAACCAAAGGTGGTTCCACAAAATTATAAAACAGTATTTTTACTGTATCTTTTCTATGTTTAAATACACAAATAGTTATCATTGTGCTACACTTACCTATAGTATTCAGTACAATAACATGTTGTACAGGTTTATAGCCTAGGAGCAATAGGCTATCTCATATAGCCTAGGTATATAGGCTATACTCTCTAGGTTTGCATAAGTACACACTATGACGTTCACACAATGAGAAAATTGCCTAATGATGCACTTCATAGAATGCATCCTTGTTGTTAAGCAATGCATGTAGTTTGGTCTTGCTTTTTTTTTTTTAAAAACAAATGCAGTCTGACTATCTGCATTTAATTAGAGAATTTAGAACATTTATATTTAATGTGATTGTTGATATGATTGTGTTTAAATCTACCTTTTTTGTTTCTTTTCTAGTAATCCCACCTATTCTTTGTCTCCTATTGCCTCTTTTATTTCCTTCTTTTGAATTAATTAATTACAATTTTATTTTATATCCTTTGTTGGTTTACTAGCTATAACATGTAGTATTGTTTTTGCAGTGATTGCTTTAGAGTTTATATTATACATCTAATATTATACCATGTTATGTATAAACCCTACAACAGTAAAGTTCCAGCTCTTTCCATTCTGGTCTAGGTCTTGTGGTTACACATTTCAATTTTTTATTGTTATAAAGTCCATCACATTTTTTTGCTTTCATCAAGAATATTTTAAAGAAATATTTTTAATAAAAAGAAAAGGAAGCCAGGTGCTTGGCTCATGCCTGTAATCCCAGCACTTAGGGAGGCAGAGGTGGGCCGATTGCTTCAGTTAACAAGTTTGAGACCAGCCTGGGCAACTTGGCAAAACCCTATCTCTACAAAAAAAATTACAAAAATCAGCTGGACGTGATGGTGCATACCTATAGTCCCCAACTACTTGGGAGGCTGGGGTGGGAGGATTACTTGAGCCCAGGAGGCAAAGGTTGAAGTTATCTGAGATTGCATCACTGCACTCCAGCCTGGGTGACAAAGTGAGACCCTGTCTTCCAAAAAAGAAAAAAGAAAAGGATATTTATATTTACCCACATATTTATCATTTCTGGTGTTCTTTATCCCGTTGTGTAGATTCAGATTTCCATCTGGTATCACCTTCTTTCTCAGGTATCACCTTAGAACTTTAATATTTTAGTTCAGGTCTTTTGCTGATTAATCTTTCAGTTTTTTATATCTGAAAAAATATTTCACCTTTATCATCATTTTAATGGTTTTATTGAGATATAATTCAAATACCATACAATTCACCCTTTTCAAGTGTACGTTTCAATATTTTTAGGATATTCAAAAGAGTATGCATCCATTGCCACATTTCTGTTCTCCCTGAAGAAATCCTAATTTGCTTTTTCTGTCATTTTTCATTTTATCCTCCCACCTCCAGCCCTAAACAACTATTAGTCAACTTTGTCACTATAGACTTGCCCATTCTGGATATTTCATATAAGTGAAATCATAAAATATCTAATCATCTTTTACTGTTTTTTTCACTTACCATAACATTTTCAGGGTTCATCCATGTTGTTGCATGTATCAGTACTTCATTTCTTCTTATTGCTAAGTAATCTTCCATTATATGGGTACCCATGTTTTACTTATTCATTTACCATTTGATGAATATTTGGGTTGTTTTCACTTTGTAATCATTAGGAATGCTATGACATTTGTGTACAAGTTTTATGTAAATATACACTTTCATTTCTCTTGAGTATATAAACCTAGGAGTAGAATTGCTATGTCATGGTAACTACATGTTCAATACACCTCTACTGTATGACAAATACTTTTGCTGGTTGTAGAATGCTAAGTTGACAGTTATTTTTTCTTTAAGTATTTTAAAGATGTTTCTACACTGTCTTCTAACATGCATTGTTTCCAGTTAGCAGGCTGTGATAATTCTAATCTTCATTCTTTTGTCCATATGTGTCTTTTTCCTCTAGTTGCTTTTATTATTTTTCTCTTTATTACTGGTTTTAAGCAATTTAATTGTGATGTGACGTAGCATGGTTTTCTTCATGTCTTTTGTACTTAATATTTATTGAGCTTCTTCAATCTGTGTGGTTTAGAGGTTTCATTAAACTTGGAAAAGTTTTAGCCATTATTTCTTTGAATTTTTTTTTTCTATTCCCACTTCCTTTGGCTACTCCCATTATGTGTGTATTAGGCTGTTTAAACTTGCCCTAAACTCCCTGAGGCTGTGTTCACTTTTAATGGTCTTTTTTCTTTGCTTCATTTTTAACATTTTCTATTACTCTGCCTTAAGTTTATTAATATTTCCTTCTGAAGTGACAAATCTGCTGTTAATTCCATCCAATGTATTTTTTCTTTTAGGTATTGTATTTTTATCTCCAGAAGTTTGATTTACAGTTAAGAAATGTCTTTCATGTCCCTTTTTAACACACTCATGTTATAATCTACCTTCTTGACAATAAGAAATATAATTACAGGCCGGGCTTGATGGCTCAAGCCTGTAATCCCAGCACTTTGGGAGGCCGTGGCAGGCGGATCATGAGGTCAAGAGCTCAAGACCATCCTGGTCAACATGGTGAAACCCTGTCTCTACTAAAAATACAAAAAATTAGCTGGGCATGGTGGCGCACGCCTGTAATCCCAGCTACTCAGGAGGCTGAGGCAGGAGAATTGCCTGAACCCAGGAGGCGGAGGTTGCGGTGAGCCGAGATCGAGCCATTGCACTCCAGCCTGGGTAACAAGAGTGAAACTCCGCCTCAAAAAAAAAAAAGAAATATAATTACAATATCTGTTTTAATATCCTTGTTTACTAATTCTGTCTATGTTATTACTGAGTTTGTTTCTATTGATTACTTTTTTCATTATGGCTCATATTTCCTGCTTCTTCGCATATTTGGTAATATTTGTATTGGATCCCAGACATCACTAATTTTATCTTGTTGGGTACTGGATTTTTTCTTCTATATTTCTGTAAATATTCTTGAGCTTTGTTCTTGGAATTAAGTTACTTGGAAACAGTTTGATCCTTTGAGACCTGCTTTCATACTTGTTTTATACAGGATCAGAGCAGCTTTTAACCTAGGATTAATTTCATCCCATTGTTGAGGCATTATCCTTCTGAGTATACTAATACCCACAAATTATGAGTTCTATCCACTCCAGTATGTAGGAATACAAACTCTTCCAGACCCTATGTGAACCCCAATAATTTTTCCTCCTAGAAAACTTGAATAGTTTCTTCACACATACATGCTGTTCAGTACTCAGATGAAAACTCAAAGGGGATGCTCTTCAGATCTCCAGAGCCTTCTCTCTGTGCAGACCTCTCTTCTTTAGTATTATATCTCATGAACTCTAATTGCCATGACACGCTTGAACTCATACTACTACCTCCTAATATGCTGAAAGAAAAACCAGTTCCTATTATTCTGTCTTGTCCAAAGCAGAAGTCTCCTTCATGGTATTTGATGAAGAAAAGAAGGAAGGCAATAAACACTTTTAAAGAAGAGAATGGAAAGGAAGAGAAGAAATGAAAGAGAAAGAATAAGAGTTGTTTATGTAATTTTAATAACACTGGAGAAAGCTTATGAGTGCTAATTTTTTAAAAAACAAAATCACACATACAATATGGTCACAATTATAAAACAAAACAAAAATAAAAACAAACGTGAGCCAGGACTGAGTGAGACACTAACAACACTTGCCCTTGGGAATATGGTTGTTCTTATTTTTAGTTTTTCTACATTTTCCAAAGTTTTAGAAATAATAATTTTGTAGCATTTTTATATTGAAGGAGAAAAGATGCAACTGAGATAAACTGGATTCACCTTAAAATAAGAAGGGAAATAAGGAGAAAAAGAAAATAAAATACCCTAAATTTTCTGACAGTTTTTTAGGTAGAAGGATTCTATGGGTTGTCATAGTAAGATTGGTTGAAATGTTACCACCCACCACCACCACCACCACCAAAATGTAGCCCTCAAGGATCCAAGAGACTTGTAATTCTAAATAAGTTGCTACTACACAATACCAAATAAGATTGTCTTCCTACTTACACTGACCTAAAAACTCTCCAGTGATAGTAGCCAAAGATCCTCTGGCATTTGGCATGAAATCTGGCTCTAGCTACTATATTCTTGACAATGTTTTGATAGCACAAATAAGTTTTCAGAGTGGAGGTTTAACTTTCCAGTGGCATTTAAACTCTATACAATTCAAAGACAAAGAGGAGGTGGTTTGGTTTGGTTTGGTTTGGTTTTTTGGTTTTTTTATTTTTTTATTTTTTTGAGACAGAGTCTCACTCTGTCAGCAGGCTGGAGTGCAGTGTGGCTCTATCTCGGCTCACTGCAACCGCCACCTCCTGGGTTCAAGAGATTCTTCTGCCTCAGCCTCCCAAGTAGCTGGGATTACAGGCACGTGCCACCACACCTGGCTGATTTTTTATATTTTTAATAGAGACAGGGTTTCACCATGTTGGCCAAGATGGTCTTGATCTCCTGACTTCATGATCTGCCCACCTCGGCCTCCCAAAGTTCTGGGATTACAGGCATGAGCCACTGCTCCTGGCCAAGAGGAAGTTATTTTAAACAGCACAGAGAAGAACAAACAAATGTGTAGGGGTTGCTGCACATAAAAACCTGACTCTGTTTGCCAAACTTGTATGTAGCATGTTCTCCACTATGCTTCTCTGACGTCTTGTGGTGATAAATTCAGTGTTTGCAGGATTTAAAAAGATGTCGTGTAAAGATAATTTATCTGAATCAACATAAACAAAATAAAAAAGTTTTTCCCCCAAAATGCAAACATTTTGCCTCTTTGTTCATTGATTTCCCAGCAAAATTCAGTGTTTCTTCTTCTATGTAAACCTTGTATTTGCTATGGCTAACTCAGTTTTCTGCTTTCCTGTTCATACATATTAAAGGACTCAATGACATAATCGGCTTTGCTTTTCACTCAGTTGCTTAGGGCTTATAAAAATAAAACACAAATACCCACAGCTGTTCCAGGCAATCATTCAGCTCTTTGGAAAGAAAATACAGATACAGAGACAGGTGGTTCTGCTCTAAGCACAACACTCAAAATTAAGAGTGGAGAGACTGCAGCTGTGTTTCCAGGAGAAAATTAGCAAACTCCAAGACTTTCTGTGCTAAATACAGTTGCATATGGACACCCAGGATCAAGGGAATAGCCTGTCTCGAGTCTTGCTTCTCCTGGAGGTTGACCAAAGTCTTACTCTATGGGGATATTTCAGGATTTCTGATTGCTCAATGGAGGTGTTTCTGCAGTCCAGTTAATGGAGAGCTGACAGCATGCTGACTGTCCGAGGGTGAAGTTAGCAAAGAACACACAAGGAATCTACCCTTCTGTCAGCTACTCTGATTGCAGTAACTTGACTTTCTGCATACAATTAAGCAAAGGCATGGAGACAGAGTAAGGGAAGCTGATAGCTCAGATGGTTTTAAAGGAGAATAAGAAAGTGAGTGATATTGTCTGGTTCTACTCATACAGCACCCATCCTAGCCGGAGCTTCTGACTGCTACCCAAAGAATGTGAGACCTTAGAAGCTATGACTCCTCTTTCAAAACTGGCTGTCCTTGCTGCCTCCAGCTCCCTTCGGCTGGTCCTAGAGCTTGCCTTACAGCTCCTTCAATTTCAGTACTGCTGTAAAACTGTTGTCAACTTTATGTACTTCTTTGGTTTCAAACTTACCGCTGAATTGGGTTGGGAGCCCCTACTCCATCTCTAGTGATGGGAACCACAGTTCTTGCCAGATTAGCCTTCTCCCTAGTGGTGGGATACACAAATAACAGCTTAAACCTCTATATGATTTTTCTACCCTACATCACCATAAAGCATTTTCATACCAATCCAGTCATTAGTTTACGGGCTATATTAGCACTTATCAAACATTTCTATGGCAATCTATCTATCCCACTCATTTCTAAATTTCAGCAGAAAAAAAGAATTTGAGAATAATCAAGATTACAATACAAGAAAAAAAGTCAAACAAATGAAAAATCTAATGGTGATTTTTCATATATGTTAATAAATATTATTATGTAAATGAATATGAGCATAACAATAAAAGCCATTACCAATTCAAGTCAACACTGACAGTTGGGTATGATGGCAAATGCCTGTAACCCAACACTTTGGTAAGCCAAGGCAGGAGAATTACTTGAGGCCAGAAGTTCAAGACAAGTCTGGGCAACATAGCAAGATCCAAAATAAAAAATAAAATTAAAGAAGAATATTGTAATCTGCTTTTATGAATTTTAGGAGTTTTTGAGGTGGTTTTTTTTTTGGGACAGTTTTCCTCTCTTACCCAGGCTGGAGTGCAATGGTGAGATATCTTGGCTCACTGCAACCTCTGCCTCCCAGTCTCAATTGATTCTCCTCCCTCAGGCTCCTGAGTGGCCGGGATTATAGGCATGGGTCATGATGCCCAGCTAATTTTTGTATTTTTAGTAGAGATGGGTTTTTGACATGTTGGCCAGGCTGATCTCAAATTCCTAACCTCAAGTGATCCACCCGCCTTTGCCTGCCAAAATGCTGGGATTATAGATGTGAGCCACCATGCTCACCCTGCTTTTATGAATGTAGTTTTTTGTTTTGTTTCGTTCAAAACAGTGCTTCGCTATGTTGCCTTGGCTAGTCTTGAACTTCCAAGCTCAAGCAATCCTTCCACCTCAGCCTAATGAGAATTACGGGTGTGTGCCACCATGTTTGCTCTGCTTTTATAAATTTGAATTTGTAGTAATTCTTGAGAGAAGATTCTGGGAAGATGGCACAGTACGAAGCACCATAAATCTGTTTCCTCAACTAGACAACAATTTCACTGGCAGAATCTGTCTGATATAAGATTTTTTAAATTCTAGCATCTATTAAAGTCTTGTAACTTCTAGGAAAAGGCATGGATGGTAAATTGAGGTTAATATTGGTCAATTTCAGCAGACAGCATTTTTCTGAAGAGCCTGCATGTAAGCTGCAGGAGTAAAGGTGGGCAAAAAGGATCCTGTCTTCCAAATATCATGAATCTGTGATTTAATTGCTGATTGCTGCTTCTGATCACAGAGATGCAGAGAAAGAGGCAGGTGGCCATTGTTTTTGCACCCCCTTCCCGTTATTGCAATCCCTTCTCCCATGACTGAAGTGACTTCCAGGGCACTTAAAGGGCTGCCATTTCAACACTACCACCATCACTTTCTTTTTCTTTTTCTTTTTTTCTTTTTTTAGGAGCCAGGCACTGAAGAGTAGGACATTCAAAAGCAGCTGGATATATAAAGGAAATTAGAAAGTCACTTCACATACTCAGGGAAAAATCCAGGATCAGAAAGAGCCTAAGAATACCGTTAAGTTTATGCTTCAGTCTGATCCTTGGCACAGACATAGGTTAAACAAACAACAAACAAACAAAAAAAAAAAGCAAACTTTGAGGAAGTGGGAGAATCTGATTTCTAGAGTTAACCTACCATTAGATTAAAATGTCAGTTTCCACAGAAAATCACAAAGCATACAAAGAAATAGGAATGCATGGCCCATTCAAAAGAAAAAAATAAACAAACAGAAACTGTCCTTAGAAAATATCTGCAGGCAGATCTACTAGACAAAGACTTTAAAACAACTGTTTTAAAGATGCTCAAAGAACTAAAGGAAGACATGGAGAAAGTCAAGAAAATGGTATATAAACAAAATGGAAATACCAACAATGTGATAGAAAACCTAAACACAAACTGCAAAGAAATTCTGGAACTGAAGAGTACAATAACTGAAAGGAAACATTCACAAGAAAGATTCAAACTTGAAGATGGGACCATGGAAATTATTGACTCTGAGTAAAAGAAAGAAAGAAAATCGAGGAAAAATTAACAAAGCCTAAGGGACTTGTGAGATACAATCAAACTAACCAATATACACATTGTGTGAGTCACAGAAGGAGAAGAGAGACTATTTGAAGAAATAATGGCCAAGAATTTTCCAAAAGTAATGAAAGACATAAACATTCCAGAAGCTAAACTAACTCCAAGTAGGATTAACTCAAAGAGACTCACATTGAGACACATTACAATCAAACTGTTGAAAGCCAAAAACAAAGAGAAAACAGCAAGAGAGAAACAACTTGTTATATACAAGGAATACTCAATAAGATTTTCGGCAGATTTCTCATGAGAAACTTCGCACTTGATCTTAGCCAAAAGACCTAGAAGTGATTCTCATGAGAAACTCTGGAGACTAGCAGAAGTGGGCTGATATATTAAGTGCAGAAACAGCTAATAACTAATAACAGACTACTAAAACATATGAAGCAAAGATCGACAGAGTTGAACATTGATGAAATAAATGAAGAAACAAATAAGTGGAAAAACAGCTCATGTTCATGGATTGGAAGAATATTCCTTTTTAAAAAATATATATTTTATTGCACTTTACATTCTGGGGTACATGTGAAGAACATGCAAGATTGTTGCATAGGTACATACATGGCAATGTGTTTTGCTGCCTCCATCCCCATCACCTATATCTGGCATTTCTCCCCATGTTATCCCTCCCCAACTCCCTACCCCCAACTGTCCCTCCCTTAGTCCCCCCTCCAGCAGACCTCAGTGTGTGAGCTCCCTTCCCTGTATCCATATATTCTCATTGTTCAACACCCACCTATGAGTGAGAACATGTGGTGTTTGATTTTTTGTTCTTCTGTCAGTTTGCTGAGAATGATGGTTTCCAGGTTCATCCATGTCCCTACAAAGGACACAAACTCATCATTTTTTATGGCTGCATAATATTCCATGGTGTATATGTGCCACATTTTCCCTGTCCAGTCTATCACCAGTGGGCATTTGGGTTGGTTCCAAGTCTTTGCTATTGTAAACAGTGCTGCAATGAACATACATGTGCATGTGTCTTTATAACGGAACGATTTATAATCCTGTGGAAATATACTCAGTAATGGGATTGCTGGGTCAAAAGGAATTTCTATTTCTAGGTCCTTGAGGAATTGCCACACTGTCTTACACAATGGTTGAACTAATTTACACTCCCACCAACAGTGTAAAAGTGTTCCTATTTCTCCACATCCTCTCCAGCATCTGTTGTCTCCAGATTTTTTAATGATCGCCATTCTAACTGACATGAGATGGTATCTCAATGTAGTTTTGATTTGCATTTCTCTCATGACCAGTGGTGATGACCATTTTTTCATATGTTTGTTGGCCTCATATATGTCTTCTTTTGAAAAGTGTCTGTTCACATCCTTCACCCACTTTTGAATGGGTTGGTTTTCTTGTATACCTGTTTTAGTCCTTTGTAGATTCTGGATATAAGTCCTTTGTTCAGATGGGTAGATTGCAAAAGTTTTTTTCCATTCTGTTGGTTGTCGGTTCACTCTAATGATTGTTTCTTTTGCTGTGGAGAAGCTCTGGAGTTTAATTAGATCCCATTTGTTTATTGCCAGTGCTTTTGGTGTTGTAGTCTTGAAATCCTTGCCTATGCCTATGTCCTGAATGGTTTTGCCTAGGTTTTCTTCTAGGGTTTTTATGGTGTTAGGTCTTACATTTAAGTCTTTAATCTATCTGGAGTTAATTTTAATGTAAGGTGTCAGGAATGGGTCCCGTTTCTGCTTTCTGCACATGGCTAGCCAGTTTTCCCAACACCATTTATTAAACAGGGAATCCTTTCCCCATTGCTTGTTTTTGTCAGGTTTGTCAAAGATCAGATGGTTGTAGATATGTGGCCTTGCCTCTGAACCCTCTGTTCTGTTCCATTGGTCTATATCTCTGTTTTGGTACCAGTACCATGCTGCTTTGATTACTGTAGCCTTGTAGTATAGCTTGAAGTCAGATAGCATGATGCCTCCAGCTTTGTTCTTTTTGCTTAGAATTGACTTGGCTATGTGGGCTCTCTTTTGGTTCCATGTGAAGTTTAAGGTGGTTTTTCCCAGTTCTGTGAAGAGGGTCATAGGTAGCTTGATGGAGATAGTGTTGAATCTATAAATTACTTTGGGAAGCATGGCCATTTTCACAATATTGATTCTTCCTAACCATGAACATGGAATGTTTCTCCATCTGTTTGTGTCCTCTCTTATTTAGTTGAGCAGTGGTTTGTAGTTCTCCTTGAAGAGGTCCTTTACGTTCCTTGTTAGTTGTATTCCTAGGTATTTTATTCTCTTTGTAGCAATTGTGAATGGCAGTTCGTTCTTGATTTGGCTCTCTTTAAGTCTTATTGGTGTATAGCTTGTGATTTCTGCACATTGATTTTGTATCATGAGATTTTGCTGAAGTTGCTTATCAGTTTCAGGACATTTTGGGCTGAGACAATCGGGGTCTTCTAAATATACAATCATGTCATCTGCAAATAGGGACAATTTGACTTCTTCCTTTCCTAATTGAATACATTTTACTTCTTTTTCTTGCCTAATTGCTCTAGGTAGAACTTCCAATACTATTTTGAATAGGAGTGGTGAGAGGGTGCATCCTTGTCTAGTGCCAGGTTTCAAAGGGAACGCTTCCAGTTTTTGCCCATTCAGTATGATATTGGCTGTGGGTTTGTTGTAAATAGCTTTTCTTATTTTGAGATATGTTCCATCAATACCTAGTTTATTGAGAGTTTTCAGCATAAAGGGCTACTGTATTTTGTTGAGAATTAATATTCTTTAAAAGTCCATACTACCCAGAGCAATCTGTAGATTCAATGCAATCCCTATTAAAATTCCAGGGACATTTGTTGCAAAAGTAGATAATATAATTCAAAAAGTTGTATGGAACCAAACACACATACACAAAAAAAAACCT